TGATTACAAAATCTCCAGATGTGAAATAATTTCAGTATGAATAATTTTCTCATCTGAACAAAAGATTTTTAATTTTTTACAAAAAAGTGCAGTTAAACAGCAGAGACTAATGACTTCACCAAGGAGATTGCGCTTATAAAATCAATTCATGAATGCATGCAAAAATGAACTTCATTGCTTATCATTATTTCATATCTCTTTACTAATTCACAAGTGAATTGAAGAATATTTCTTCCTTTTCATTTCTACTTCTTCTGCTTCTTCTTCTTCTTTCAATTAAAAAGTTAAAAAAAATTCAATTACAACTGCCATGTAATACTTTACTTTTTATATAAACTCAACATAATCTGTGAGAAAATATTTTTTTATGAAAATAAGCTTTAATATTTTTGTAAGGGAATGAGGAAGCTTTGAGAGCTTAAAGAGGATTATGATTCTCCTTCGTCTTTTGTCTTCAATTATGTGTTCTATGGGCTCACAGATTTCTGACTCAAAAACAACTTTTGTGTTATTTTTATCCTATAAATGCTCTTTATTTGTACGATGGATAAAATAATCAACCATAAGTGCACTAAATCAAAGTTTTAGCTCGGATTATCAAGTTAACAACTTAAATCCACTTATTGATCTACTCTTTATATAAATACAAAATTCGTTTGAAAAATGAAAAACTTCTCATTCTGTTTATTGCTGTTTTTTCACTCCATCGCTTCTTGATTCTCATTGAAATAAGTGAAAAAAAAATACTTTTTGTTCAGTTTTAAAAAGCAACAAGTTACGATGGAACTAATTATTGTGAATTTTTCTTTTTTCTTCGTGGGAAATAAAACTTTTTTCCTTTATTGAAAAAACGAAGTTACGTCTGATTGTGGCTTAATATTAATAAAAATAATTATGTATAGACCAGACAGCTGAATAAAAAAATGGATTTTCACTTTAAATTTTTTCGTAGGTAAAGTCGCAAAAAATCATTTATGGACAGATTATGGAAATATTCTTGTTTCTGAAAAATAATTGATTTAAATTCACAAACGTCTGTAGATTCAAAAATTTGATAATCCATAAAATTTAGCAGAGAATCATTAAGCCAGGACAAACACTCACATGAGCTTAAAACACACACGAGGGATTAGCTTTTAATAAAAAATAAAAAAAATCCCACTTTTTTCGCAACTCAAAAATTTTAAATATTCAAAAAGGAGAAATTACTTCATAAATTATCTCATGCATAATTTATACAATAATCTTCGTACTTCATCGCATCATAATGTTTCTTCTTCTTCGCCTTGAAATAATCGAATTTCATAAAAATTTATGTATGATTATTTCCTTGAAATTTTTCTCTCTTTGTTCTGTACAAATTATTTTATTAATTTCCATTAGCAGAACAGAAAATAAAAAGGAAAAAAAATAATAATAATTGTGATATCGAATATGCGGCATTTTACCTTCTACATAGTTTTTTTTAGTGTGTCATTTCTTCTTCCACCTCAAATACATTCTACGGCGATACATATTTAAGCGATAAAAAGAGAGAGAATCGAATGAAACATGAATGGTTGAAAATCGATTTTTTTTTTCTTCTCTACCCTCAAAAACTCGCGATGTACACAAATTGTGTAGTTTGAGCGAAGAAAGTTGGGAAATGACTAATCGCTCTTCATTCAGATTGAAAATACTCGTGTAAAGTAAAGGAAGAGTGAAAAAATTATTTATCTTTTTTTGCATTTATGCATGCAAATCTCGGGGGTTGAAAATTGGATTTGATTAAGGAAATTTATTTTGTTATGATGTGGGAAATATTTTTTTAGTTTATAAGCTTATAATAAATGGAAATCATAATAGGATATGATAAAGCAAAGATGGACGCAATTTTTTAAGGCTTTTATAATTTTTAATAAAGATGATATAGATGACTAATTAGCTTAAATTGAAGAATCTTTATTTCCTGACATTATTCTATGTGCGAAGCTTTTTTATCATTATTTAAAGGATAGCCAAATTCATGGTTTGGTTCTATTTGAACTTTTGAATTAAACATCAAAAAATTTACTTGACCCAATTTATTTTACTTTAAACAAAAAAGCTTTGATAAAAATCGCAAGAACCTTAAAAATAATGACGTCAAATTTATCTATCGACACGCCCTTGACACAAACATGTATTCTTTCTTTTATCAAGCATTATTCCATAAACTGACATAAGGATTTATGAGTGCGACTACGGCATTAATGAACAAAAATGTGAGAAATCGGGAAATTCATCAGAAATTGGGTTATTTGTAATCATACAGTAATTTCTTTTATGACTTGTATGTATATTAGGTATCCAAATTAAAGGCATAAATAATATTTTTTACATTCACTCGTTACCATAAAAAGCACCACCGTGTTGCCTTTGATTTCTCTCTTTGTACTATATTACATTCTCCATTTCATATTCTCTTTGAGGACGTTTTTACAATGCTGTACGGAATTTATTTACAGGAATGAATACAGACATGTAATGCGAGAAGCCTTTAAACATTTGAAATTATTTAAAGTTTTGTGAAGGGTTATTTTGTTTTGAAACGTTTTATGTTTCATGTAAAACTTTATTACTGCCGGTGCAGAATAAAAATGAATGAACAGAAATATTTTTTTTTCTCCGCTTGTAAAATTCGAACATGTTCAGTATGCAAAAAAAATTGTTGTGTTGCTCAACCGTCGACCCTTTAGGTGAATTTTTATGAATTTTTTTTTTTTTGTGTGGTCGACTTAAGATAGACTTCCTATACCTGCAATATCATTCACTTCTCTTCTGATTTGAACTTCCAGAAATCATAAAAGTTTTCATTAGTTTTTCTTCAAATTTCCCTAAGAAGCTTAATTTATTATCTTTTTATATTCACACCGTTTTCACGTGTGAATCTATTGGTTTTGTTCAGATTGAAAAATCAATTTTTTGAATTTTGTGAAGATATGGAGCAAGAAAGCTTAAAATGTTCAGAGATGAAAAGTTTGTGCCTGAAATTTTACATCATTTTCAAAAAACAGATTTCAAATTGGTTGTGGCATTGCTGTGAAAATCGCAAAATACGCTTTCTGTAAGCAAACAAGCAAGCAAGCAAGTTAATCAGCAAGAAATCTCAATAACGAGACATCGTAGAGACTTCTAGTTTTCTACATTTGATCCGTGCTGCTCTATAGAAGAGCTGTATTGTTTTTGGCAAGGTAAGAACAGCCGTTGCTTCAGAAAAAGCAAAAAATATTCCTTTCTTACGAATTTTTTAAAACAAAAGTTGACTGTGATTTTTATAAAATTAAACTTTGGATGAAAATTCTTTTTAAAAAACTTTTAAAGAATGTGTGGCATATTTGTCAAGCTTTATACATTCAAACTTAAGCTGAGCAAAGCTCAGCTGACTCTCTAGCTTTATATCTTTAAACTTCTGCTGAACGAAGCTCAGTTGACTTATCAAGCTTCATACCTTCATACTTATGCTGGGCAAATCTTGGTCTATACATAAGACTTTTGATAGTACGGTGTGAATATAATCCGCATTGGGTTTCTACCCGATACACTAGTCATTTTACATATTTTTATTTTCACATGTAAATTTTATTCGAATATCCATTCAGCTATCTATAATGGTAAAGATCATAAATGTCAAAAAAATTGTAATATTATATACAATAGACACTTCATACCATGCAGAAAAAGTTTTAAATAAATGTTTGGGGAAACTCATCAACATATTTAATGAGAATTTTCAAATAATAAATGTTAATGAACTATATGAACGAGGTCATGGGTGAACTTAATAGATAGACAGTTGTAATTGTTTAGATTATGATTTACTAATGAGTACAGAATGAAAATTGGCAGGGTAAATTAATTAATTAAAAATGAAATTTAGGACTTAATGGATTAGTTGATTTTGAGAATATAATTGCAGATTTATATCCCATGGCATGCTGTCCATTTCATTAATAATTTTCATTGTTATTATATTCCATATTTCAATTAACTTCATTACAGTCAGCAAAGCATTTGAAATATATAAAGAAAATAATGTACTAAGCCCACCTTTCCTCTACCACCTACATTTAAAAAATATGCAAAATTGGTAAACTTTAAAATGATTCAACCGAAATATTAAAAGTTTATCAATTTTTTTCCCCAAAAATCCAAATAAATAATCGAAATCCAACCGCATCATTATGATTTGTTTTACCCAATAAATTGTGTTTATATTTGTTCATATTACTCAGTTGTACATCATTAGCTAAGATTATATAAATAGGAATTTTATTTGGATATTTATTTGTGGTTAAAGTTGAGTTTTTGGATTCAAAGTTATTATCAAAATTAGTTTAAATATTATTTGGATAAATTTTTGGCATTATCGTTTTATTAAGCCGTGACCTCTTTAGAACTTGTTTTAACTATTGGGTAGCTCTTGACATCATCCTATTCAGAAAAGCAAACAAAAAATCAAATTTATCTGTATTTTAATTTTTAAAACTGTTAAAAAAAATTAAATGGAAATTCTATAATTGAATTTTTCCGACATCCATCATATGCATAATTAATATCCCACAATTATAACCACAAATTACAAATGCATAAATTTATAATTGTTTATTTAAACAAAATGAACTACCTCAAAGCAATAATATCTACAACAACTCTGCGTAGATAAATTATTTAAATTCATTAATCAATTCAAATGGAATCCAAAATTTATTCATAAATGCGTAGTGAATAAAGAACTTCCGAGGAAATCCACACTCAAAAAAGTCATTTTTTCAAAATATTTTGTTATTTCCACTCAGTATACAATTCAAAATCCTATAAAATTCATAATTGAAATGGAAAACACAGAAAAAGTATCACTTGTGGATGCTTTATAGCTTTTATACATTGGATGAATTTTAAAACATTTTTATTGATTAATGCTAATGCTCTCTTAACTCCAACAGCATAAAATTCATATGAATAAACTTATATGGATAGTTAAAGCTTCAATGAGCAAGACTACATTGTGTCAGTTAAGATTGAATGCATCCATTAAGCCAGTGCAACATAATTGAAGAATAAAACCAGTCAGTGATCGAATGTGATATGATTGAAATTATTTAAGCGTTACCATTATTTTGTGTATGTGTGTATGTGAGCTTTTTATACCCGAAACCAAAAACTAAACCTAGAAACAAAAAAGTTGCGTGTAAAGTCAAATTATGTGCACGAAAATAGAAATGGAATCATGTGTTTTAATGTTTCGTTCCAATATGTGCAACAGATATGAGAATGACGTAGACAAAACATAGTGAATAACACGAACAAATGTTATCAGTGCTTTTGGGAACGAAAACGATAACAATGAACCGGGGAGAGCAAGAAACTCTCTACAGACAAGCACGAAATTTACGTCTAAATCAGGAAATTAATGCTAAAAGTAATCAACCGAGACATCATTCATACGGCAATATTCATTCAATAACGTCACATAATCTCCATCCTATAAAGCAACAAAATATGAATGTACATTCAGCATTTGGAAACAATGAACAACAACGTGCAACAGCATCCGATGATTTAGTATTGAGTGTACTCAAAAGTCCAATACGTGATCAATCTTTATTCAGTAACTTAAGTAGCAATGCAGCAACAAGTATTAATAGTGATAGCATTGAGGGTAGTGCAAATCGTTTATCGACCGTCACAACGGTGACAACAGCTGATAATGTATTAAGTCAGTCGCAGTATGGTGGTGGACAATATTCAGCATTGCAAGCATCAGAAGATGATTTAGCGGATGATGTTGAAGCATCAATGGAAACAACTGAACTGCAAAATGATAAAAAGTCAAATTTTAATAATTCTGAGTTGTCGCCTTATGGATTAAAGTTCCTGAGGCACTTTCGTACGCCAAAATTTGAAGCGCACCATCATCGACGTGTTCCAATAGCTATGCGAAAACATAATCGTGGACGATCGAAATCGTCTGCTGATATACTCGATGGAGTAAATCAAGGTAATCCTGATGAGGAAATTGCCATTCAAGATGGTGCTACTGAGGGAATTGAAGGAGGTAAAATGTGAACATTATTTACTTCAATCGTGTTTAATGCACCATAAAAATTACTTTTTACTCCATTTCCATTACAGTTGATAATCCATATTATCCAATAGCACTTCCTATTGATCAAGCTTTTAAAGCGAAATATGTATTTCATCATAGACGTGGTAAAACATTTCAAGAACGACTTTATGTGTTCCTTGAACATCCCGGAGGATGGTTGTGCTTTATATACCATTTTGCTGTGTAAGTTCTTTTATGTATTAATATTTAATGATTTTTTTTAATATACTTTTTTCGGATGTGGATATAGTTTTTAACACCTTTCATCATTAAAAATTCATTATTTAATTACAAAGTTTTAGGTTAATATGTTGCTGATAGCTAATAACTATTAAAATTTGGATTTTTTTGAGGTTGGGCTAAGTAATGAGTTGGCTTATAATGAAAAAAAAACTTATAATTGTAATTAAATGAGAAATAATTTATATTGAATTTGTTGTTAGTCAGGGATGTTTAACATGATTACATGATTACTTAAGCCAACTTGACTAAATATTATCTGATTTTGTTGGGGGTTATTAAGGCCACTCTTCTCAAGAAACCAAAATTAATTTACTATACTTTGCGATCTGACTGCGCAACTATCATCCTGGTAATAAAACACCAAAAGAAATAAATCAATTAGATTTCAAATGAGTTTCTTTAAGCTCATAAATATGGATTAAAATACTTTTAATTGAAAAATTTATCCTTTTCTATTTTCCACGAAATCATTATCAGCATTTAAATATCTTAAGTAAATTGAGTAGATAAATATTTCAATTTCTAATTCGCAGTACAAAGATGCTTCATTAAACAAATCACAATTAAAGTTATATTAAATCCCATTTCCCACAACATCACGAAAAATGCGAATCACAGATTCTTTTTCTTTATTTACTTTAATAATTGAGCATCCTGTATCTGAAATGAAAGAAAATGTTCACACATGTTGCAACATATATTTTCTCATTCATACATAGATAATGTTCCAGAAGGAAAGAATCTGTTGCGTCAATGGATAGTCGTAAGTCTCTAGATGCCTCATTTTCTTCTGAATCTTTCTTATATTTCTAATAAGGGAAATTACTCATGAGAGCAATAACAGAATTATACCAATCATTACATGGATATCATGTACATTACATTCAGTTTGAGTACTCTGAGCACCTTTATTAATTATCCTAATATTCGGATAATAAATATGAATGTGCGATTCTCTAATGGCTTGAGTCCTTTCTTAGAAAAATGCTAGAAACTGCTAAAATATTTATAGTCACGAAGACAGAAGAGCTTAAAGATGTTTTACAGTTCAATAGGAACGGGAAATTGGAATTTAAGCTGTTAAGCTTGTTGTAAATTTTTCTCAGTTTTTCTTCTTCTTCATCTACTTCCTATCTTCTATTAAAGATGTAAGATGTTAGACTCGTAAATCAGCTTAATAGAAAAATTTGTTCTTTTGATTTTGTAAAATTTTAGACTTAAAGAAAAACTTAAAATCTCAACATCTCATCTGTTTTAGAACGCTGTATAGCGCGCTTCGTGCTTTTGATTTTTTGTTAAACTTATTGCCAGATTCAGAATTATCACAGGACTTCCACATGATGATTATATAAAAATTCCCATTTCTTTTTGCTTTTTCCTCCTAATAACTCCTAAGTTCTGAATGAAATCCAATTTAAATCAATGTTTTATCTTCCGCAAGAATAAAAAACTTACCACAAAAACCAAAATCTAATTTTAAAACTAATTAATGAATTATTTTATGTCTCTCTCTCTCTTTTCTTTCACAGATTTATGCTCGTAGTCGTATGCTTAATATTTAGTGTTTTATCAACGATAGATACATACCAAGATTTTGCAAACGAGACACTTTTTTGGACGGAAATATGTTTAGTTTTCTTCTTCGGTGTTGAGTATATTGTTCGACTGTGGTCAGCAGGTTGTCGATCGAAATATATGGGATTTTGCGGTCGACTAAGGTTTGTGAGGAAGCCGATATGTATTATAGGTAAATATTTTGTCTTTTTTTTATACAAACAAAATTCCACAAATTGCAAAAATATATTTGTGTTTATAATTCTCATTTAAACAGATTTAATTGTTGTGGTTGCATCACTTGTTGTACTCACAGTTGGAAGCAATGGGCAAGTGTTTGCGACAAGTGCGATAAGAGGTATTCGATTTCTACAAATTCTCCGCATGCTTCATGTTGATCGACAAGGTGGAACTTGGAGGCTGCTTGGTTCTGTTGTGTTTATACATCGACAAGTGAGTTTCTTTTGTGTGGTTTGATAAGGCATAGTTGAAGGAGTATGGCTGAAATGGAAATGATTTTTTGCGGAATTTAGTATGAATTTTGTGGTGGAGAAAAGCAATAGAAATATGACCTATTATTGAAGAATCCAAACCTTAAGCAGACATCATTGTGCATTGTTTTGATTCAAAATATTCACAGAATGTAGAAAGTTATGCTAGGCTTTCAATGAAGACATGCTGGGTTTTCAATGTAAATATGGTGAATCCGTGATATTTCATCATACTTTAAATTAAATCTTGTTCGTTTCTATAAGATTTTCATGAGTAGTTCTTTCTGAATTTCATAAGTGACTTACCAAACTGATGTAACTCATCTAAAAGTTAAAATCATGATGCACCAAAAAGTCTCGAAAGCTTAAATTAGAATTAAACCGTATTTTACTAAATAAGGATATAATAAACGCTCTAGACTAATAATCATGGTGCTAATGAAATTAATTATAATAAAACGAATAACACGAAAAGAAATCAACGTGCAAAATGTTTTGAGGTGAAAATTTTAATAATCCAAAAAGACTTAATCAAATTAGCCACAGAAAATTGTGTGATAAGCGGTTTATTTTTGTATTATGAGGGGTGAAATCAACTTTAATTTCCTGTGAATGATAGCCGGTAAATCAATTTATTTTCTTCAATTTACGGGTTTTTGCTTATCGTTTCGAGCTCCCTCGTGAAGCGATCGAACTTACACCAGTTTACAACTTGAATATTTTCAAAGAACAACATAAAATGAAATACTGATTTTGATACGAAAAATACGCTTCCTACACTTCCTTTCTGTTCCATACTTCCGTCAACTCTTTTTGTGTCGCCATTTTTCTTCATTCATGCACAAAAATAATATTTCTTTTGCTTTTTTTCTTCTTTTTTTATCTCCATCCATGTCCTTTATTATTTGAATTATCATTAGGAATTGATAACGACGTTATATATTGGATTTCTCGGGTTAATATTCAGCTCGTACTTTGTATATCTTGCTGAAAAGGATTATGTAGACGATACAAAAGATTATCCGAAAGACACACCAAAGGATCATTTCAACAGCTATGCTGATGCTCTATGGTGGTAAGTTTTATGTAAAATTGAACAAGAGAGAAAGAATTTCTCATTTTTCTAGTTTTACATGCTCAATAGTGAATCGAATGGCAAGTCTGTTGGTGATTTACATTTGTGGGAAGGGTTAGAGAAAATTCATTGTATTGGATTAATTTTGATGTTTTTACGGGTTTATCTTTAAACTTAAACTATCATTAAATTTTTTAAGCAAGGTTCTGTAACATTCTGTAAGTCCTTTAACTCTCATAGTAAAAAAATCCAATCCTTAATAATTTCAAAGCAACACTATCCATTTTTAATCTATTGTAAATCAAATTGGATAAACGTCCTTGAACTAGAAATACAAAATAATCGCTAAACAGTCAGTGTAGACTTTTAAGTCAACGCAAAACAGCGAAATCAATGTAAATTTTTAATCGATTTCCCACATTTATAGATTTTGCTATGTAAAACACACAACCTGAGCGAGAATCAATGTAAAATATCTATTTAATTTAATCAATAGGGGCGTAATAACAGTTACAACCATAGGCTACGGAGACATTGTGCCTAAAACGTGGATGGGAAAGATAGTGGCATCGTGTTTTAGCGTATTTGCAATTTCCTTTTTTGCACTACCTGCTGTAAGTTACAAAATTCATATATAATTAAAGTTTTGACTAATTTCTATTATTTTTTATATAAACAGGGAATTCTGGGATCAGGTTTTGCACTAAAAGTTCAACAAAAGCAAAGACAAAAACATTTCAATCGTCAAATTCCGGCAGCAGCTATGCTAATTCAATGTCTGTGGCGTTGTTATGCGGCTGATAAAAGTTTCAATAGTGAAGCAACATGGAAAATTTACGTGCAAAGCAATAACAATTATGACTCTAATGGAAACACTAATGTTCTACCAACACAACTAGGCAAGGTATGTGATTAAATATTCTAGTGAGTTGTTACGTTTTTTACTACTTTTCTGTCTCTTTTTTCACGCAAATAAGTTTTTTTGTACGTTTTTTTGAGTCTTGAAAAAAAGTTCTAGTCATTTAAGTCACAGTAGATGGACGACTTTGGGTGCATTTTTGGTCTTGAGGTGTTTGAAGATTTGTGTGTTGTGGTAAAGACCACCTCACAAGCCTCCTGAAAATGCTCCAAATGAGAGTCCATAAATCGTTTTATTCTCAAACTTTCATAAATAATCATAATGCAAGAAAAATACTATGATTAAAAAATATATATAAAGCAGAAGTGCTTTTGTTGTTTCAAGCAAAGTTTTTAACTCCTTTCTTTTTATTCTTAAACATAACTGGAAAACGTTGGATAAACATTCTATTCTAATGCACAAAAATCACTAATCTTTTGATACTGTTTTTTATCCATATTTCTTCTTATCTATTCAAGCACATAAACATTTCTCAAAAAAAAATTTCCGAACCAATAACAATTTTTTTATATCTAGACTACGGAAAAAAAGTATGCAACAGCTCAACATAATCTCTTTTATTATAAAAGCCACACTGATTTTTCATGAATCATTGAAGAAAAAGTTTTTTTTTGTTTTATGTGTTGAGATTGGAGGGAAAAGAAAAAGTTTCAAATTGAAAGGAGAAATTTATTATTAGAGATTTATGTTCATATCGCATTAATATTCATGTATTGCTCCGTAACGAATCTACTGATATTTTCGAAAAACTTGATCTATAGTAAAGTTTGTGCATAAATTTGAAACTAATTTTTTTATTAAATTATTATATTTTGTGAATATCTCAATCAATTTTTACAGAAATAACTAGTAATTAATATCAAATTAAATCAAAGTATTGTTTAAAGTTTTAACAAACCAATTTTTTTTTTGACTTGATAATTTATAATTGGGGATACCAAAAAATTTTTTAAAAAAACCCCTTTTAAAAGTCAATTATATGTCTTAAAAGAATATTTGAACAGATATAAATTATTTTTAATTCGAAATTTATTAGAGTTCTCAAATTAATGTTTAAGAAAGGAGATTTATTTGGACATTGTGTAACAGTAATTAATATCATCAAGATCCTATTGCAGAATTTTTCTCTGCAATAAATGAGTAATTAGAGTAAAGCGAACGACACCTAATCATGCATGACACTTGTGCTTACATAGAAATTTTTTATCTCGTTTCCAAAAATTGCCAAATTAAAACTTCATTTCTATTAATTTCAACAATATTATCAAATTACTCAGCAAGTATCTAATGCAAAATGAGATCATGAAATTCCAATTTGAAGAGGTTTTAAAGACGATTGAGAATTTTATTTCTGTTGATTTTTTCTAATTACACTTAATTTTTGTCAAAAACTAGTTCAAATTTCTAAGAATAGATTTGTTTTGATATATTTTTCAAAAATATCTTTTTTTACTTATTTTGACAAAATCCTAAATTAAATTTTATCATTTTTTAAAATTCAAAAATTTAAAAATAGACAACATCCAAGAAACAAAAAAGCTTTTCATTTCAAAGTTTTGACCATAAACAGCACAAAATTATTTTTGTCTTTATAAAACAGCAAATACTAAGAATCCGATAAACATTTCGTAACGATCCTTTTATTTAATTTATGTCGTTTCGCCTAAATCTCATAAAATCTTTTTATAAAAAGCGGATAAAACCAGAAAACAATTTCGTTTGAAAAAATACGTGAATTCTTTTTGACATGTAATGATTTGTATAAATGAGTTTGAAATAGATTCTTGAAAAATATGATATAATGAAATATGCTCAAATGTTAACTAGTAATTTAAAGAATTATTTAAAATTTTTCAATAATAAATCCACAATTTTCACCTTTGTCAGGATTATCTCAAAATTAAACTATCAACAATCAGCAATAAATATCAATCTCAATTCATTGTTGTTTCACTCAAAATCTCATAAATAAACATCCTGATTCAGTAAATAACAAACTCGTATTGATTACAAATATTTTGTTCAAATCAAATTCAATCGACTGAAAATTTTCAATGATTCCTTCAAAACACATGAAGCATATTCCTAGAATTGTAAAACATCCATTATGGTAACATCAGCACTCAAATACTAGGATACAAATAATTCCGATCCAATGAATATTTTGAATACAAAAATCATATTTTTTTAATCTCTTTAGGAATTTTTCACTCGTAAATTTTATTAATACTAAAGATTGACTACATAAAAAAAATTAATTCGAGTATTTCCATACGGGATTTATTTTTTTATTTTTCCTGTCAAACAAATCAATAACTTTCATTTCCATGCACAAAACTAATAAAGCCATAAAAGATTATAAAATATGAATAAATAAATTGAAAATTCGGATACAATTTAATGCGTAAAATAATGACTTTAATTCTATGATAGAGCATATTTGCATGACAATTTATTCTCATTTAGATATAAATCTTGTACAAAAATTTCTTTTTTTGAAAATTGCTTGACGAAAAATTACTAAAATTTATTCTATTATCTTAAACTTTTGCCTTCAATTATGGCTGTGTGAGTTTCTCTATACTTATTTATATGTTTTATTGTTGTGTAGAGAATGCATTCTTATATAAAATATATACAGCAAAAAAGACAAAAATAATGTAGAAAATTGCTTTTTATGTGTTATTTTCTCACAAGGGAATGTTTGCATAACTTTCGTCTATCTTTGACGTTACCTTTTCCATAATTACACGCGACTATGAATTTTTCATGTAATATAGACAATGATATTTGCTATATTAAATTCACGTGGTAAATAATTTCTTGAAATTGGGGAGGATTTAAGAAAATTTGAAGTCTTTTACTTTGTTTCTATTGCTCAAAATTAAGAAATTTACAACTTTAAACCTGCAAATAAATTTTTTCCAACTTTATTCGGTTATACCAATATTTCAATATCCAAATTATAATACTTTCAACCCCACAATACCATTTTATCTCACTATTTTAAATTGATATAAATTCTTTTTATCCGTTTGGCAAGCAAATCCTTCTGTGCAATATTCAAATTTACATATTTCCATAATAAAGTTTCATACTTCACTGAAGAATCCTTAGCTATAAATTTTATTCCACTTTAAGTGTTCATTTTACAGAACAAAGGAAGGAAAACTACATAAAGACTCCATCTAGTTCTGAAAACTCCCCAACTACATACAATTGACATTTTGATGAATAAAAAATTTGAATATTACAATCGAGAACCGACTTATCGATTCCCAATAGAGGAAATAACAATTCTTTAAAAATATATATACATACAAAATTTTTAATGCAATAACCTTTATGGTTTTATACAAAGAAAAAAGAAAAAATAAATGTTTTTCATTTCTTCCTTTTCATTTTCCCTTCCGTTTATTCTTTCTTCCATTTATCCGTCTTACATTTGCACGATTATTATTTTATTCATCTTATTTGGCATTAAATCATTTTAAGTTAAAAATAGCACTATGTGAAAGAGAATTGTGTTTGATATTTCAAGAATATACAATAAAAGGACACAGCGCTGATGTTGTAGTCATTCATATTTAATCAAGGTTGAGCAGATTTGTGCACAAAATCATTCGAAGACGTCAAAGTAGGTGAATCTGATGTTTGAAAAGGTTGATGAGCTATTGCGAAAGGGTTTTCTTATTTCGAACGAACTTTAAAAATCAAAGTGGGGAGTTTCCATGTACTCAGCATGCAAAGACTGTCCAAATTGTCAAAAAGCCAAAAGACAGGATTATAAATATTTTAAGAAAACTTTTTCAGTTTGCTTTACGAGTTTTAAAAAATATTTTGAGATTTGTCAAGTACATTCCTAAGTTCTGTTATTCATGTATCCTCAAAATCTTCATCCATATATCAAATTTCCAGTTTAAAAAATCATAAGAGGCATAACAAAAAGTTTTGAAGTACAAATTGTCATTATGTATTATTTATAATATTTTTTTATTTTGACTTTCCTGCTCCAATTTTGATTTTTCTCAAGAAAACATTGAATAAAAATGCCAAGAAGAACTCCTTCGACATAAAGTTTTTCTTTAAAATTATAAAAACTTTTTTAACCTTCTTTATTTTTTTAACTGATGCTTCTGCTTCTTCTTGATTTTGATTTGATCGCGAACAAGTGAAATTACATATCAACTGTCATGACAATTGAAATCAAGGCGGTAAAGGAGATTGAGGGGAGTTTAGGAATGAAATTTTTATGAATTATTCTGTTAAACGTGTTCCATCAAAACATGAGACAGGCGTGATGCTAAATTATTTCCAGAAAATGAATAAAATAACACGCGTTCATATCAATTCTTTATTTATAATGTAAATGTTAAAGGAAAAGGAAATAAAACACTTTGTTTATTTCTCTTTACAACCTCAGTTGTGGCTGAAAAAAAAAGATCTGCAATTCTCTTTCACTAAGAAATTAAAAACAACATTTTATTTCTCTTTATTCATTCATGATTGCATGTTAATAACATAAATATTCTATAAATATAAAGAGCGCATATTCATTTATTTTTATGATTTGTTTCGTGGTCAATATGTCTGTTGGGTTACCTGACGAATTTTGAGTCAACTCCATTAGTGGAAAATATGGGATATTAAGGGTTTTGCAGGTTTTTGTGACAATTTCAAAATAATACTTGACACACTGGATTGATCTGCCATATGTCATATTTACATCTTCTGTTAAAGAAATGCATTTGCCATAACTTTCCCTGCAGCATTTTTTTTGCCGACAAAAATTTAAATGGTGTTTTTCAACCTCCTTTTTTTAGCCATCAGAGGTTACTTTTAAAAAGAAAATTACTTCATTGTGACTGCTATTTACATTTTATGTCTTTTAAGCAAAACGCATTTGTTTTCATTGCATTACATTTTGAATTAATCCTGTGTATACAACAGCACCAGTTCAATAAACTTAATCACTTTAACCTCACAAAATGTTCAGAACAATTTTAAGCAAATTAAAATTCAACAAAGTAGCTAACTCTCGAGAGTCGTAAACTATATCATTAGCAATAATCATAAACCTTAGGTCATAACTTTCAAAAAATATATTTTATATTTCGTGAAAATGCGCTCTACATTGTTGTTTTATGTTTAAAAATATTCATTTCACTATTTTTTTTATATAGTCTGTGTTTCCTTTCATAGCTCGACATAGTTCTGAAAGGAAAACAATATGATGAAAAAAAATGGAAGAAATTTTAATTGATTTCCCTTCAAAAATTTGATGTGACATTCCCAATCGTCATGTTCGGAAATTAGTTGAATAAGATAAAATTTTTTCATCATGTTGTTATCCCCTCGCAAATTTCCACTTTCCTTTTCAAAATTCAATAAACTCACGATATGCTTCACCCTTTCAGTATCATTAGCTTTTATTTTTCTTTTTACTTCCTTTCCATCCAGTCACTTTCATACTTTTTTTCTGTTATCAAAATTGCAAAAAACTAGAAGAAGAAAAACTTCATTTTTATATACATATATATCCATATTCTGATATTAGGTTCACTAAATAATTTTCATTGGATGTTGTGTCCGCTTTGGTGTTAAATGTTGTTTGTATTGTTTGAAATATTATTGGTTCAGACGCTGATGGTGCAGGTAGCGCGAAGGTCAGCATCTGTACTGAAGAGGCGAAAATCCCGCAATCGAATGGAAGTGTCGAATGTAGCTGAACGAAATCATGAGGGTCCGGCGTCAGGTGGTGGTAGCATTACGGAAATGCCCAACACACCAAATGTCGATACACAATTGTCAAAAGAGGCAGAAAGCGAAGTCATTTATTATATGGACGAGCCTCATGCACCAGGTAATCAACTTGCAATTTACATGTGAAATAATGTCATTTTTTTAAAACATCGTAATCGATTGTCGAGCTTTTAGGCCTTTAATCAAATAATATTCATTTCTCTTATGAAAATGGATACTCTAGTGAAATTTTTTTTGTTGGTCACTGTGGGCTACAATTTAATGAAATGAATGGAAAGTCATTTCTCCTTTCCTTTGTTACCTTAACCAAATAATAATTCGCATTGTTACTACTTCATGCATTGAGCATTAGGTTGATACAATGTTCTCTTGTTTGCACATTGAATGATGTTTTGAAATTGAAATTTTCTATATTTATGAATGTCTTTACTAGAAAGACTAACAAGGCTGAAGTTAAGGAGAAAATATTTAATTTATTTTTATTGGACAAATTTAAAATGTTTAGGAACCTTGATCTTAATTTGTCCATATTATAGGTATTTTTAATACTGGAAAAATAATTTGGGGTAGCAACTCTGTTAAGCTATAAAAACTTTGAGAAAGTTAAAATTAATCCAGGAAACCGTTGATGAGGCATCTGAAAAGTTCTTTAGAAATTCTTGTTTCTCAAATTACGAACTGAAAATCTCCAAAATTTCTCCACAAAAATTTTCATAATAAACAAAAGATAATCCGATGTTATCTACAGTATTCATTAAGGTATCTACAAATGTTGTTTTCCAAACAAAGACTACCAATTTTGCCAGCAAACAAAGAACGCAAAAATATGTGAATTACCATTCGTTCCATTCAAATTATATGAATAGTGTACATTCTGATATTTTCATAATCATTATATTTATCAAAAGGAATTACGAGAATGTAATGAAAATATGAAGGTAGTTATTACACACAATAAATCTTTGAAGTTAAAAAAGAAACGCAGACCACCTTAAAATATATGAATTTATTTACTTTGTAAATCAGCATTTTCTGTCAGTACTTTTTAAATAAAACAGAATCAAATTAAATCTGCCATACAAGAAACTAAATCGATAAAAAACGACAGGATTGTAAAAATAATTCTAAGCTAGATTTTCCTTCGCTTTTAAAAAAAAGCTCTCTTATCTAAGTTTTCTTATCACAAGCATTCAGCAAATATTTTCATGAACCATGAAAAACAAATAAAAAGAGAAATTAGTTCGGGAATTAAAAGAGATGGTCTGTAAAGTAACGCATTTATCTCAATTCTAAAAAGTAGCTTTGATACGTAACAGACCAGGAACGGATTGGTTCAAATGTTTAAGCTTAGTCACTATACTTAAATCTAAGTTCAATTTATAGTTTAATAACCGTTCAACAATAGAATAGACCGCCAAACTAAAACTAAAACTCATTTTTACAATTTCAACCAGCCAAATCCATTAGAACTGAAGCTTTCTACTTTTTTCTTATGCAAAAAAGCTTCATTTTTATGCTTAACGATTGCCGCTGGTGTGAAAATGATGTCAAGCTGAATCAGCGTTTATGTTTTAGTTTCTGATTTTGCTATGCTTTAAATCCATTGCAGAAAGGTAGGAAGGAAAATTTATCATAACATAGAAGTGCTTTTTCAGCTTTGATGTTCAAGTCAAAGTTACTTTTATGAAAATAAACAACAGCATGGCATATCAAAAGTGACACAATTCCAATGAGTTTGAGTTTGAAAACTTAAGTATTTTCTTATGAGCACCAATTTTCATTCACTTATGAAACTAAAAAAAAGTTTTGTGCATGCAATGAAGCCACAAATCATTGACAAAATCAGTCATTTTCTTTTAAAACTTTAACGATTTAGTTGAAAAGTTCATTAAATAAGTTTTGCTTTTGATGATTTTTAAAAAATGTTCATGTTTTCCCCACGAGCTTGCTTTAGTCCCTCCTGACTGTTTATAAATATTTAACTGTTGCTCAAACAAGCAAATAAATGAGTAAATTTGAGACTGTAGAGTTCTATTGTTATGAAAGAAACTCCGTAACAGAATAATGCCAATGATGCAAAAACAACAAACAGCCCACAGTTACTCAAAATCCCACTACAATAAAAAAAATAATATTTTTCACTTACCAATAACAAAAATAATTTCTCAATTAAATAACGAAAAAAAAATTCCATCCCGCATCACCACGCAAAACGTAAACTTATCATCCACGGAAAAGGTCGAGTGAAACGACAACCATTTGTCAGCCAAACAAGTTCTGTGACAGAGACTCACAGCGATGATGTAGAGGCAGAACAAGAAGGTGATGAAGACATTGAGCCGGCTCGAGTGACACAGTAAGTCTTTCTTTTTTGTGCATGAACGAAAAAATATTAAACCAGGTTTAACTTTATATAAAGGTTGACAGAAGCACATCGCAATGCCATTCGAGCAATTAGAAAAATTAAATATTTTGTGGCGAGACGAAAATTTCAACAGGCTAGAAAGCCTTATGATGTTCGTGACGTTATTGAGCAGTACTCACAAGGTCATCTCAATATGATGGTTAGGATAAAGGTATGGGTAGCATATTTACAGCAGATGTCTGTGCATAAAAAATTTATTATTATACTTTTTTCTATATTTGAATAAAAATAACAGGAACTACAGAGACGATTAGATCAAACGCTCGGAAAGCCAGGCTCATATCTCGCTGGATTTGATCGCATAGGAAATGTAAAACCAATGACTGTCGGTGCACGTATGTATCGAGTAGAGCAACAATTAAATTCAATGGATCGTAAATTGGATCAATTAGTGCATGCAATAAACAATTTAACAATACAACAAGCGAAAATGATGGCATCTCCACAGCAGCATCATCAACATCAACATTTCAGTTACGGTCCGCTTGCTTTACCGCCAGCATTTGATAACATTCAACTTTCAACAGCAATGACGGCGCAACAATTACAAGGTTTACAATTACCTCCTGGTCCATCACAATCAAATACTCCAACAACATCAATGGTGCCGTATCTTGAGGATGATGTGTAAAATATGGAAGTTAAGAGAAAACTTTATTTTCTTCAGCATAGTCGTGAGTGAAAAAGCTTCCAAAAAAAATTTAAGAAAATTAATCTTTAAAATTTTCATATTCTGAGCCCGAGTGAAGCTTCAAAAAAGCTAATATTAGGCTTGTATAATATGACAAATTCTCCTTAAAGGCTGCATCTTTGATGCATGTCACTCGGATTACACTGTGATCTAGATCTTAAGACATGTTGAAAAATTGTTCGAATGTTAAGAAATTTTTGGTGTCGAAGAAAAAAGCATAGAATAAACATGATTGGGTCTTTGGGGTACGAATCAGAAATGAGGTATAAAATTATGAACTTTTTGAAGCTCCTGAGTTCATTTTGAAAATTTGCAAACTGGGTATCATGTAATAACTCACGATGAATCTTCGGAATCTATTTTAAGATCTCTTAAAAAAATGCAATATAATTTTATAGATTGAGAATACTTCAAAACTAAAACAAAAAGCAAATCTATTAAAATTGCATAATTTCACAGAGAGTATGGATGAGAAACTGTTTTAGAAATAGAACTAGCAAAAACAAACTTTGTCAACGACCATGACACGTTAAAAATAGGTGTTGACACCGGTTCTCGTCCAATCACCGAAGTTAAGCTACGTCTAGCATAGTTGGTACTTAGATGGGAACGCTCTGTGCTGTTAACTTTTTGCTTGTTTGCCTTCAAAAATTTATCAATCTTTTTTTTTATGCTAGCTTAGCTTGACTTATATAAAAATTAATGTATGCCACAAAATAGTTTTATTACCAACCTTGATTGCAAATCTTCACCAGATACCAAACATCTGGTTCAATCAATTAATACCCTCAGTACAATGTTGAAAAAAACAGACATGTGATAAATTTCACTTGACCCCACATGAATCTAAAGCTACAAAAAATATAGAGATTAAGATTGAAGCTAAGTACGAAAAAAAAACTTATGTTAATTGTATCCAAAAAAAGTAACAATCAATTCCATTTAACCTTGTAAATTGAAAGTAATTGTGTAAAGAAATCTGTGATAGTGTACAAAATTTAAATTAATTCTCAAATTAAATATTTTTTGTAATTCATGTGTGGTTTTGCTTAAAATAAATTCGAGACCGAAAATTTCTTGACATTTTAGTCGTTCTATATTGGTCTGATAAGTCATTTAGATATTAAAATTTCAAGCATAAAATATGAAAGAATGCTTAGAAAAAATTATTGAATAGACGTAACTTTTTTAAGATAAATATAAAAAGGTCAAAAAGCGTTTATAAATAAAATTATTGTGGTGAGAGGTATTTGGGTATCATTTTGAGGGGATGCTTGGTGGGACTATGAATGCAAACTTGAAAATTTTCGAGAAAAAAAATTGTCAAGACTTTAAGCAAAGTCACAACCCTCGAGTATTTAAAAGTTTCATAACATATGACCACCATAACAGCCAAGCAACTCTTTATATGACTTTTCATACCTTGACCCACAAGCTACATTTTGGGAACAAACTTTAAAAAGAATTTATTATAAAAAAGTTTATATCGAAAGAATTCTTTATTTAATAAAATGCATTAATTGATGAGAATAAATGGCAAAAAACCTTGAAACAATAAGAAAAATATTCCAAATAACAATCAGTAGCGAGTTTGAAAGAAGCCTTAAACTTTTTCCTAATAATCTGTTAACATTTTCTATGGGAATTAATTTCAATGAGGGAGCAACATTTTCAAAGGAAAAAATTTTTGTGATAAAATCTTTTTCAATAAAAATGTTTTTAACCCCCAAAAAAATTACATTGAATAGAATCTTCAGACCCCTCTTTAATAAGCTTTAAAAAAAACTCTCTGTGATGATATTCTCTAGAATGTTTGAGGAATCTTTACTTACATTTCCTGTTATCATCGCATCACTTTGCCTGAATGTATTTTTTGTTGTTTTTCTCAGCAAACAATCATCAATTAATTGAGGATAATTGAATTTAAAACTAATTTACTCAAGCTAGTCATCGCTCTAGAGGTTTATTTGAGGATGGAAAAAAATTATAATCGATAATCTCATAAATTTGCATCTATTTAGGAACCTTGAATGATTAGATTTAGATATGAGTAATGAAGTGCTAGGGAAATGAACAATTCAACTCTTACAAAAAATTAAAGATTTGACATTTCGACTCTTTTTTAAGTAATTTCATTCATAATTCCATGTTATAAAAAGCCTTATCCAAGCTGATTATAGCAAACTATACTGATTTAACAATTTTAATGACATCAAAGTTCTCAAAAAACCTCTTATCTAACGGAATAAAATATCAAAAAAAAAAAAACTCTTAATCATATCAAAAAAAAATGTCAACATTTTCATAGAAACGAAAAATACCAAAAACACAAATTTCAAAAAGAATCGAATTATGAACAGAATAAATCGAGTTTCAATGTCATTAAGGGAGCGGTCTAATTTTGATATTCAAACAAAAAATTCTTATATTTTTTATCAATTCCAGTTCTGTAATTTTCTCAAACATGTCAAATATTGACAAAATCTATCATTACAAGGAAAATATTTTACTATACAGCAAATAAAAAAAATATTGTCTGAACTGAGAATGAGTAATCGTTAAATAATTCAGTACTAAATTGCAGAATAAAAATCAGATTTAATTATACATACAGTAAGGTAATTAATGCATAACAATATTAAGGAAATGAATTAGACATAAGGATATCTGAGCTTGTTTGAATATAATGAACAAGGCAATCATCAAATTGAATGATTTATTGAAGCGTACTACAGTGAAGATTTATTGATAAGAATTAATTAAGTTATAATTTATTTGTGAACAAAATTTGTCATATGATCTTTCCATACCAAAAACATACAATTATTTAAATTAAGGACAAAAATTAATTTTTGATTGAGTGTTTTTCAGAAAAAAATCGAATTTTTTCAAATTTAAAAATTATTTAAAAAAAATATTTATGCACAAAACGAAGAAATAAAAACATTAAATTAAGATTTTATCATTCATAATTTTCAACGAATTCATCCAATGAATTTTCATAAAAGGATTAAATGCTTTACTTTTAAATTTAGTGAAAGATCATGAAAAAAAGAACCCTTTAGAAAACTCAACAAAGTGTAGATAATTCTGGTTTTGAACTGAAAAACATTGATTCTAACGGAATACACTCAACTGTTGCGTGACACTGATCTAATGATAGATAGCATTTCCTCGAATAACCTAGACTTACTTTGGAAATTTTCGGTTTTTGTAGGATAACTTTATGAACCAACTAGAATAACTTAGAGTTACCTCAACGATCTTTGAACTGCTTAAAACTCAAAATTTCAATGTTTTTCACTTCAAAATCAAACAAAATAAATAAAATTAGGATTTAAATCAAATTCTGTAAGATATTAAAAATCAAGCTTTTAGACAAACTTTGTATAAAAAATTTTTTTTTTAAAAAAATCGAAAAACAAACTTTTACTAACTTCGAAATATATAAAAAGATATATAATTATTTAAATTTAAGAAACCAACCAATAAGTTATTAAAAACAAGATAAGAAATAAGAAAAAGTAGCTAAATTAAATACATTTAAGTAAGTTTACAATTTTATTAATTAAAGTTTTTCGAAACAAATAAAAATATCAGAAAAAATTTAACGAATCTAAGTCATAATTAACTTAAAAAATAAGTAAGGTTTTGTAAAAATAGTTAAATACAATCCACATTTCAAACAGATCTGAGATAACCAAAAAAAAAAAGATTGTGATTCGATAAGGAATGAAAAATTTCAAATTTCCACTTAAAAAAATTCAATTTTCACATATCAAGATTTTTAAATTTGTTTTAAAAATGTTTTTAATTTGATGAAGCACATGAGGAAACCGATTTTTTGCAAATTCTATCCATTCGCAAACTAAAATGGTGATAAAACTGACCAAAGTCTGAACAAAAAAACTCAACGTTTGCAAAACTTAAACATGAAAAATTAAACTGATCGAAATAATTTATCTGAAGTCATTTACAGTAAGATACAGCTGATATTCAACCAGCATACGTAAAAACCAAATAAAGTTTTTCAAAAGTATTTACATGACCCAAATAAATTTATACAGGTATTATGATAAACAATCATTCAGCTCATCCATCTGCTCCTATCTCATTCTTTGAAATAATGTAGGCATATTACTTATGCAAAGATTTTTATATATGAGTTTCCATCATCTACCATTGTTCGGCAATGGACAGGATTTAAAAATGAAGGCTGAATTTTAAAGTTTCCGGATTTCAAAAATTTTCATTTTATCCATTTTACTTAAATTTCTCATCACGTTCAAATCCGAATTGTATATTGTCGTGCTATTTGATTTAATTATGTGAAATATTCGTGTGATATTGTTAATAATAAACTTTGATTAACGAACAATGTTTGTTGATGCAGAACAAGTTGCTTATTTTTCTGGAAATGCCTGGAAATTTTATTTGAATTATTAGTGAACTAATATTTTGGGAATTAAATTGATTTTGAACTTTTGTTCAAAAAAATTTGGCTTAAAAATATAAAACTAAACTTGCATATGCCATGAATGTGCATCACAGAATCAAGAATATTGCTTAGTTGAGAAAATTTATGATTATCCAAAACAAGAATATTTCATGCACAAAAAGGCAAAACCAAGTCTCTTTTATGTAATCTATATGCATGAAAAACTCAATAAACATAAGAAAGTGCAAAAAACGGTCCCTATGTGCTTCAAAAAAACGAAAAATTTTATAAAATTAGAATAGGTTTGAAGTTTTTGTTGATCATAAAATATTTACAATTTAAGAATGTTTTCTCATCACAAGTTCTTACCCTTAAATTGTGCATGTACAGAATAGCCAACATAGACATTTTTTTAAACATATCTCCCTTATTTTTCAAAAGTTTTTCTTTCTATTTCTAAGTTCGATAAACACGCACGTTTTATGTGTTAAAAGTTATATATCTCATGGGAATCCTAATAAAAATCTATAAGCAATATCTTAACTTTAACATGATTAATAAAAAAAATCTCCTTTAAACAAAAATAAACTTAATGTTCTATAAATAAAACAGATTGTGAATATAATTTTTTAGATTAAGGTGTAAAAATTTAAATTTTATCGGAATTGAATTATTTAAGGTTTGTATTTTCCTAGTCTTGAGAAAAAAAAGTTTTATTGAGATTGGGATGATGATTTACATTCTTTATTTTGGTATTTCCTTAAAATAAAATCTTAAAGATTTAACGTTCTTCAAAATCTCTGAATCCCCCGTAATATCCATCTCAGACCCTCAATTTTATTTTGCAAAACAAAAACTATTATAAACAATCCAAAATAAAACTAAAGTGTCCACATAAAACAACCATTATTCTAATGACTTTGACAGAAAAAGGAATCACACAACTTTCTTAAAATAAACATGTCCCAGTTTAAAAACATACACGAATACATAAAATAAGAAAAACTGGAAAAACTTTAAAAATTTATGAGTTCATTGACACTCACAAATTTCCACAAAATTTTATGAGCTTTCCACAAATTTTTTTAACATTTACACAGAAAATATCACTTTTTTGTCTTCTTTTATTATTGAAGGACACACATGTAGATGTCCAAGTGAAAATAAATCATTAAAAATTTATATTTCATGGGTCCAAACCTCTCTTGCCTAAAAATGTCATGCTGTTGACGAAAAAGTTCACGAAATGACATAAAACACAAAACTATTTTAATTATTAAGCGAGGAATTGCTTTGTCATGATGATATGAAGCAGGAAATTTATGACATATACATATGGGGCTGTTCACTTATTACGTAACGCAAAAAAATGACTTCTTAGACCCCCCCCCCCCACTCGTAACAAAATTTGTATGAAAAAAAAATTTCCTTGTTTGAATCGTAACAAAATCTTAGACCCCCCCCTCCCCCTAAAAGCGTTACGTAATAAGTGAATGACCCCTATAAGGTGCGATAGTTCTTTTATAATTTTGAATGACTTTTTTTTGCCTAA